TTTTTTCTCGGTACTGACCAATTTTTGTTCAATGGTGGTGCAGTTCATCAATCAGAAAGCAAGGGATGGTTTTTCAAAGTAAAATGGCTAAAAAATTGAGATCTTTAAAGAAAATAATAACAAATTATTAAATAATCTGTCATGAAAAATTTAACATGAAGACAAGTCAAGTAAAGAAAAAACTATAGGTAACTTAAATTTCACATCAAACAACATAAACCAATTTAACTGAATTTGAGACAAAAACCCTAAAATATTGAATTAAAAATGCAAATATCTATTAAAATATAATATAATAAATATTATAGGAACTTCAAAAGATAAAAGGAGCAAGAACAATAAGAAATAGCATTATTACTTATTTAGACGAGTTTGATTTCGCCCGCTAGAAAGTATCAAAAGAATTTCACACGTAAAAAAACAATTTTTTAATTATTGTTATCGAGGCTTCTGTGATGGCCAAAAATATCTGAACCTTAATTGGTAGCACAGAATATCTAGCTACGCAACAGAAGCCTCGTTACATGTATAAAATTGTAGGTAGCAAAAGGAGACAGGCTTTAAAAGTCTGTCTCCAAATCAGATATTTTGATGTGATAGTTTCGCTACTACATAATAGAGGGCAATAAATTTAAAAGAAAACAGTTTTCTACAAACAAAATTTAAAAGAATTTTTACCGAGTCCCGAAAGTACAGAAAGAACCGGGAATTAATAATTTCGAGTTTCGGTTCTTTGATGTTTCAAAAAAACCGGGAATTCCCGGTACTTTCGGTACCGGGATTTTTTTTCTGAACCCTAGCCCCCACATATGTTCGGTTATTTTGCACATTTACAACAACCCAGTGGCGGCTCGTCAGGTACAGTAGGTGAAAGGGCACTTCACCGAAAAAAAAACTCAAATTAAAGAAAAAAACTTTACTGCTTAAAATATTAATTTAGTTTAATATATTTACATATAACTAAATTTTAAAATGGTAATTTTTCATAAATTATTTTTTTTCCGGGCGAACCTCTGCATAATAGGTCCACCGCATCGTTAATTCCGGCCGAATAAGTAGCATTTATAGGCCCGCACACGCCTACATTTCCACGAAGCCACAAGTGAAGTGAAAATATTTGTGAGCCGAGCGGCTGCACGGTTTCCATGGTAACGTGACGTCAGCTTAGCCGGTGGCACAAATTAACTATATCAGATGCGAAAGAACATTGAATTCCGCCTTTCGGTTTCTGTGACCTTCAGAAAGAGTTCATAGACAATCCGCATCAATGTATAGTTTGCGTTATTATTTGTTTGGGTTAAAATAATCTGCACCAATATGTGATCGAGGCATATAATCTCACAGTAATTTAATACATTGCTCGTCATATATCAGTTCGTAGGAAATTAGGCAAAAAAAGATATTTATAGTATAAAAACATTAATTTATTTAACAAAATTTAATTAAAGATGTGACAAAATAGTTACTTTTCTATTGGTTCTATCGGACTTTTTTTGATTATATAAATCTTTATTTGTAAACTTTAATGCATAAAATATTTTCAATCTAATAAATAATTTAATGCTGTAAATAAGAAGAAATTTCTCACATGGGTGGTCAAATTCTATAGTTTTCATTATACCAAACAGCCTCTGATTAATGTTTTCTTCAGTACAAAACTCATCAAAATTTAATGTAAATAATTTTTCCAGCCTGTAAATAAAATGAACAAATTTTTCATTTGGCGATTTTAACTCCCATAAGTGCCACTTTCATGATTAAAGGCTTTTAAATGGGTAAATAATTTCGAGTTATTTAAAGATTCGGATTCTTTTGCAAATTCTAGACAAATATCACATTGATGTATTTGAAGACCATTTTTAATGATGTAGGCACAGACATAATTAAAGGCATTTTGAGTTGTTATACTTTCATGCCTATATGTATAATCATAATCTGGTAAAGTTATTGCCTGATGTTTTTTTAATGGTTCCACATTTTTTAATAAAATTCTGGACTTTTTGACGGACTTTAATTGTGTTAATAAAATACCCAAGTCATCGAACCAATTCATAAAGGAAGAATGCAAAAAAGTTTGACAAAATAGTTTCCTAAATGCCCTTTGGAATTCTATAGGTGTTGGATTTACAGAATTACCTTGTTGCTGTCTAACGCTGCCAAAATAATTTTCTAAGCAATCTTGGTTAATTCTCCTTGTTTTTAAATAGGTAACCAATAGAAGAAAGTCGATGCCAGAGAATTTGAATGGACTTTATTGTGATCATCCAGCACGTACGAAACTTGCATTTTAAAGTTATATCTATATTATTGTTATTAAAAATTTTTGAGTTTGCTAAAAATAAACCCATTTCATTTAAATAATCATTTTGAAAATCTAAACCTTTAAAGACAGTTTTGTACGGATTAGGGTGATTAAAATCCACTGCATTTAGTAAATCAAACAGTTTATCAAATTTTTCAACTACCTCAAGAGTGGCGTGTGCTTCAGCAGGAAGTACACCCAGAGTCATATGCGTCTGTAGCCCAATGGCTACCGTTCTGCTAATTACTTGCATAGCAAGCATAACTTTCATTTTTTGAAAGTTGTTTGGATAGATGTGAGCATCCGTGAGCTTGGGTGCACATCTATATTGTTGCTTTTTATCATTATTATAAAAAGTTTCTATAAACATCCAAGATGTCTTTTTATTGTCGAAACAGAATACATTTTGCATAAGATTATTTTTTGTGGCCTTAATAAGATGAGGAGTGTCAAAAAAATATGTGAGTTTATAATCACCAACATTAAATTCTGGATTGTCAGTAGTGACATTTAACAATTTTGAAATTTGTATAAAATTTGACCCCATATCAGTCTGCAAAAGCTATATAAATTTATGATCAAAATTCCCAAAGGTAATAGTAAAACTTATCAATTAGAATTATATTGTAGGGTCGTTTATGACCTCAGAGGTATGAAGGTTTTTATTTGAGATGGGACATTCCTAAACTAATATTACAAATTTAATTAAAATGAGGACGGGATTATAACACTACGTCTGCCGTAAAATATCACGTTCTTAATGTAAAAAAAACAGAGCGTACGTGTCGATTCTAACTTCGTCAAGCGATGAGTCACGTATAAAGATTCGTGGCTTTATAATCATAATTTATGAACAGATCTTAAAAATAAGAGGAACGTAGTTTTATTTAAAATAATGTTGCATGCAATGCAGGCAAGCCGGCAAGAATAAAGACACACCTGTTTTGGGGATTTAAAATACAAACTCCAGCAAAAGAGCATTTTATTTTTCTATTTTTGTTCATTTAAATCGAATGTACTTAGATATTTTATCAGTTTGAAAATACTAAATTACAATAATTCCTATTACAAAAGGGCGAATAATACCTAATACCTACTTATTAATCATTTTTCCTTACCTTAACTTATCCTCTGGGAACCTAAAAGTGATTTTCCTCCTCCGGTTTTGTAAAACAGTATAAATAAACACATTTGTATCCCATTTTAAATAAGATATACAAATTACCGAAACTTAGAAATAACAGTTCGAAAGTTCAACAAAAATCCTACACGCGTTTTTAAAAACAAACATATAACCACGCACTATATCACACCAGCGAGCTTCAGCAAACGAATACGACACAGCAAGGGCTTCCGGACTAAACGACTGGTGTATTTACACCACTCAATAGGCGTGTCGGGTTTGCCGAGCGGTTTCAGGTGTATTTTATTACTCCTTTTCCCCAGAAGATGGTAGGTCTGAGGGTTGTATAAGGTTATACCGCCTATACTCGGACGTCAGAGCCTCGTTTGTGTAAACAGGGTGCACCACGTGAAGGTGAGGTTGACTTTTGGGTAAGCTAGGCTATATGTATCGCTTCAATACCCCTTGCACCCAGTAATTAACCGTGTAAAGACTGTAATGTTGTTGTTAATTATTTATTGTTGTTTGTTAATGGTTTTTCTTGATTTAACTTGTTAATTTTTGCTGTTTGTTTTGTTGTTGTGTTTTAAAACTGTTTTGTGTATGTGTATGTGTTAAAAAATGAATCCAATTAATGACTTGGTGTGCAATTTATTGGAAACTCCCTTTAGACGGTGGACAGATGAAGATAAGAGGGATGTTTAATCTCAAGGCCGACCAACTGAATCTTTAACCATAAATTGCAAAAAAGAAATAAGAAAAAGTAGTAAATCTTATAATATTAAATTTAAGTCTAAACATGGTATTTGGAATAAAGAATGGTTCACTGATTTCGTAAACATAACAAGATCTTGGCATAAACACGGGGATTCTGCAGAACATTTAAAATGTCAGTTAATGCTAAGAAATTTAAAATAAAAATCAAAATACAATTGCCGTTGCTTTAAAAAAACGCTAGACTCTATAAGCTTAATTTTAATGAAAGTGTTTGTTTAAATAGACTTTGTTTACGGGTAGTTATTCAAGCAGTCTTATATGTAAGCAAGCAACAAGCAAGAGTTTTCGTGGGAATGATGAAAGGATTGACTCAGTGAACAGAGGAAATTTTAAGGAGCTATTAAAGATATTAATTGAAATAAGCCCTTTGGAAATTAAACAACATTATGAAAAATATATTATAGGTATTAGTGTATAAATAATAAAAAAAAAATGTTGACAAAGTGGTGAATACACCAAAAATTTTTCAAATAATAGTTTAAAAAATGTTGACAAAATGGTGAATGCGGCAAAAAAATTTTCGGCGCAATTTAAAAAAGAATAAATCTTCACCTATTTTTATACCCACGAACCGCCACTGCCAAAACCGAGATATTGTATGTATGATATTTTTGCAAATTGAAAGATTTAAGCGATAAAAAGTGGTATTAGTTTACAAACGAAAACAATATAAAGTTTACTCTGTAAGTCAAGTTCATTTCTAGTAAACTCAACTTACTTAAGATCTCTACTGGTATACTTCTAAAAAATTACTTAAAAATGCAAAACATAATGTTAACTCTTCTTTTTTATGAACAGCTGAACAACAGTACATTCAACCACAGTTCTACCCCACCGAACCAAGACAGGCCCAGAACTCGACTGGTTTGAAGGTAGTAGATGGTTTCAATGCTGCCAGAAATCAATTCCCTTATCAAATTTCTCTGAGAAGACTGCTCATAATCAGCTATTTCCACACCTGCGGTGGTTCAGTTGTCAGTCCGAGGTAAACAAACACATACTACTATACAGGGTCCGGCAATAGTGCGTCGGGCATCTGTAGCTCCTAAAATATAAAACTTGGAAATTTTGTTTAAGTGTTAACAAAGTATGTACTAGGATGTGTATTTCAGGAAAATATTTTAACTTCTACAGGGTGGCTCAAAAAAGTGTGAGTGTATCGGGATGATTTTTTTAAATGGAACACCCTGTATGTTATTGCATTTTTGGCTTCCTTTCAATTCATTTTACAGAATCCTAATATATGAGAAAAAATATATATTTTTCAGCCTTTCCTGAAAAAATTATTAAAAATACAAGAACTGTCCTGAAATCAAAACTATACTATACCGGGTGCGTCTCAAAAGTGGCTCACCCCCTATAACTTTTTTATTTTTTCAGGTAAAAAAACGAGATTTGGTATGTTAGTATATGACATAAATTAGGATTGATTGACGAATTCAATTATTGTTTTCGGTCACTTCCTGTTACACCGGAAACTACTACAACTTGTGATTTTTAAATGGCACCCTCGGTATTTTTTTACTTTATTCGAAAGAAAATAGCACTCTGAATAGAATGACACATTATATCAATTTCAAGTCAACTTTTGACATTTTCGCATATGGTGTATTTGAAATTATAACTTACCACTTTCTTACCACAGTTCTTAACGAAAATTTGACTCAAATTACCAAGTGTGTGGTATCAAATTATTCGTAAAAAAATACTTTTTCCAAATATGCTATTGAGCCACCCTCGTTCCATTTGAAAAAAAAATAAATATGATTAAAAATATGATTTGAGCATTTTCTAACTGGCCAGGACAAGACACTAAAAACATTAGACGGTCAAATCTATTTTTCCAAGGCTCCTTGGTTAAGAATTAGAGTTTTTAACATAGCCATGGCACTCTAGATTGAATTTTAAAATACGATTTTTTATTCAGCGAGAATGTCAAAAGTTGACATATGAAATGACGTTCTATTCAGAATGTTTTCAAATAAAAAAAAAATTAAATGGCTGAAAAAAAATTTTTTTATTTATTTATTAATATCACTAAAACTATCAAAACTTATTTAAAAATATCTTAAAATTATGTAAAGTGATCAGAAAGAAAGCCAAAAATGTAATAATATACAAGGTGTTCCATTTAAAAAAAAATCATTCTGATCCACTCACACTTTTTTGAGTCACTGTGTAGAGGTTAAATTATTTTCCTGAAATACATTCTTTAGGTTTGCACTGAAACAAAATTGCTAAGTTTTTATTTTAGGAACTACAAATTATGCCCGACGCACTATTGCCGGACCCTGTATATTTAAATAAAAAGTAAAATGTTCTTGCAGTATCAATATGTAATATTTAAAATAAAAAAATATTACTTGCCATTAATTAAATCTTCAGCTTTCAAAAAAATAAAAAACTGAAAATACCAAAATGTTATGTTTATTTGCCGTTATGGGGAAACCAACCATTCTCTCGTTAACGGTTTCGTGGCCTATACCCCATCATCAGACGAGCTAACAGGGCTGGATTTCCCAGAACGGCAAAGAAGCAAAATAACAGTTATATGGTAAGTAATTGTTTTATTTTAAATATATATATTTAAATATACCCAATTACAACTCAACTTTTTACATTGTTGTTGCAGATTATACTGAAAAATATTTTTGACTTATTTTATATCGCTAATACTCTGAAACATTTATAATATAATCAATGATTTAGATCGCAAATTAATGGAGGTCTGAGTGAATTTATATACCTATATAATAAGTATTTTTTTTCAGATGGATTTTGACAGCTGCCCATTGTACTTGGGGTAGGGCTGCTAGCCAATTCCGTGTTGTCGCTGGTATCTTGAACCAAGGTGACTCAGGAATCGCCAACCAACAAACTGTCGCTGTTGCTCAAATTATCAACCATGAAGGATATCCAGGGTATGAACTTACTTTTATTATCAAAAGCACATCACAGCGCTATATGCAAAAACCACCTTATTAAGTGTCAAACCATCAAACAGTTTAATTCCTTTTATCAAAAAAACTAATTATCTAAATTTCCTATATCATAAATACTGATACTAAAATTTTATACAGTGTATTTGTAAAAATATATCTCTTATTTTAGTGATATCTAATGGCAATATGACATGGCCAGATGTAGTTTTACATCGCTTGACGTGTAAAGTCATAGGCTACTGGTTAAAAACCAGAAAAATATACGCTTTAAAACTAAATCTTAAATAAATTAAAAACGATTTATATTAGGTATAGGAACATGTATAAATATATCAAAAAAAAATATATTATCAAAAAGTAACGAATTAAAACACCTTTTCACTAGTGAAATAAAAAAAAGTGGGTTTCAATTTGAAAAAAAAAATATTTATTAAAATTTTTTAATCTCTCTATTCCATGACAGATACTGCCAATATTATATGATATTGAAAATTTTATGTTTAGGCTTATTTTAGTTAGGTTTAGGTTTATTTTATTTTGTTTCGTTTCTTTGACCTGGTACACTATATATATTTTTATTCTTGGCTTTAGGGCGTTGGGGTTGCAAAGACGTTACTGGATTTTGTTCATTATTTTATTTTTATGACGACATTTCGACGGTATATGTCTTTTTCAAGTCTTATTAAGTACATAAAAAACAGTCAGTTAAAATGAAAAATATAAAAAGGCAAAAAAAAGGTCTTACCTTTAACGTAGATTCAAGTTTCATATAGTGTTAATAGTTCAATAATATAGTTTTTTTGACAGGTAGTTTTTTTTCCTTCAAAAATTTTAAATATTTTTTTCCTCAAAAACGGATAATGTTCGTTATAGAGTGTTTGATACAAAAATTCATAAAATTTTATAGAGAATTTAAATATATAATAAAAAATTGGAGTGCCTATTTAAAATAAAAAAGTTGCTTTCAACTTCCGCTATTTCCGGAAGTGCCGCTATATATAAGATATTTTTAGTCAATAGATTTCAGCTGTGCAAAAAATCTCCGATCAAGGTATTGTAGTCTCTAGAAATTTCTAATGCACGGTCAGCCTGGGACATCCTGTATATATTTTTTTATATTTTAGTGGTGATGAAGTATCTGCTGATGATATCGCCCTCGTCCTATTGGCCAACAACCTCAACTACGGCGTCAACGTACAACCCATCCCTCTTGCACAACCTGGATCCTCAGCTCGTGGTACTGCCGTCCTTTCTGGATGGGGTTCCCTAGGACCACCAACCAATGCTGCCCCTGAAACTCTTCAATTCATCGAACTTCCAATCTTGCCTCAAGATCGTAAGTAAAAACATTAATCAAATAGTTTATAAAGTATCTATTCTCTATTTTAAAAAATTTCTACATCTCTGTGGCGGATCCATCTCTTCATAAAAAAATGTCCTCTGGGTATTTCGCCCCTTACGCTGTAAGAAAATCTACAAAATAAAATAGTTATATTCTTTGTAAACACTGCTGTGAAAATCCAGCAAAGACCAACTTGTCAAATAAACAAATATGTCTAACCGGCAAAAAATGCTTACCGTTTCAGGAGGTACGGTTCTCCTCCTGTCATCGGAAGCCAAAAATTACAAAGAACACAGAAAAAAAACTAAAAAATGTCTATACCTATGTGGCGGATTCATCTCCGGAAAATCCTATATGAGTATTTCGCCACTGAAAATTCACAAATTTTCTTGCAGAATAAGATATTTATATTAATAGTAAACATTTTTAAACTTAAAATATCACAACGAAATCCATTTAAACCAAAAATTCGTAATACAAAACTGAAAAAAAAAGTGTCAAAACGAATGATAATATCAGGAAATATATAAATGAATGTGGCAACTGAACATTTTTTACAGCAAAGCTACTACCTGAATCTTCAGCGAGAAATTTAAATTCCTGTTAGTCAGCCCGGCGCCGAATATGTCCATGGTTGCCAACAATGAATTTAAAAATCGGGCTCTCGATTACGTAATTAAAAGTTTAATTGGTTTTGCTTATACCATGCTGGCAACTGTTACTTTTGGGTCGGTATTTACATGTGTGGGAAGTAAATCACATATGATTAGATTAGGATCTTGTTAAGTCGGAGTGAGAGAAATTCGACGGTGTGCTGTTGCGGCGTTGCCGGTACGCCTTTTCCTTTTATTGAAACTTTTTTTTGATTTTGAAGATCGGTTCTTTTACAATATGTTTAAATAAGAAAACTTCGATAAGGTTGTTTGTTTCCATCCAAAAATTTTAAACAACCCATCTATTTACTTTTAACGCATAGTAACTTTCAGCAATTGTGTAACTTTTTATTTATAAAGATTTTCACATACTGTCTGCGAAAAAAATATAGCCGAAACGTTTTTGAAAGACTACAATCAATTATTTCTATTAGATTTCGAGATATCGATTTTTGAATTCAGAGTTCTAATAGCGCGACTACTGTCGAACACCAATTCCTAACACTCAATTCCACTTATTTTTACCAAAGAAACAAGTGTTTCTAACTTGCACTTAAAAATTTTCAAGCTATAGGGAAAATTGCAACGACTCGTTAATAAATAAACAAATAAAGTATCACGAGACGTAATTAAATCGTAAAGCTGAACGCATTTACACCTTTCTCTAGAACTTTAAGTACTGACAGAGGCTGGACAGAGGTTGACTGCGACAAATCTGCTATATCCTCTTTGACGTCTGTTAGGAATGTGCACAGTCTCTCGGTTTATTTCATACGGTTGACAACGTGTTTACTGTTCTCTCTTTGTTCAGTTACATTATAACCGCATTCTACTCTTCTTACATACGGAAATCTCGACCCAAGACTTACCTTTGCCAGCCCTTAGTATGCGATTTTGTAAATATAGTTGCAACATTGTACAAATGTAAGTAAAAATAAATTTGCTTTTTTCTTTCAGAATGCGCTACTCTGATCGCCTCCCTCTCAGGCCGTAACAACCCCTTCAGACCTTTACTGAACGTGTGCACTCTCCCCGTAACCACCACCAGCAGAGAAGGTGCTTGCCAAGGAGACAGTGGCGGTCCATTGGTCCAAAACGGCGTACTTGTCGGTGTTGTATCTTGGGGTTACAGTCCATGCGGTGGTATTGGCTACCCATCCGTTTACGCTAAAGTGTCCGCTTACAACGCCTGGATCAGACAAAACTCAAACGGTGAAGTCGGTCTTTAATTGTTCAGAAATGTAAATGCGAAATTGGATAATTTAACTTTTGTCAGTATTAAATATATTAAAATCTTTTAAGATTATTTTTTTGTTTTATTAAAAATTTCATAATTTTGCATTATATGAGACACATATTCTCGTTGAGTATTTTATTCCTTTAAGGGAAATGTGCTCTAGGTGACGTCGTCGTTACTTTACCAGGTCTTTCTTTTGCGTCAAATAGCATACAAAAGTGAAAGTGATGTCACGACTGGTTCCTAAGTTGACTTAAAAAAAGGAATAATTATTATTGCACAAAATAGGAATTGTGTTGACACAAAGAAAACTGTTATTCGAATGCAATTAAGGGTCTATTACGCTGTACTTTCTTCGTGTTTGCTCTCAGAGGTCGGATAAAGCGGTTGTGTGGCCGGAGGAAATATATATTATATTTAAGAAATCTTCTTAACTCGATCCTGTCGTGTTAAGCCACACCCAAAATTCCAAACACACGTGCTTTGATTAAGGCTTGATTAAGGTTTGCAGAGCTTCAGCATTTGCCATAAAATAGCGAGCAATTTGTTACAAAACCATACAAGTTATATGTCACTGTAATCACAAAACTTCAATCTATTTCCGTATTGCAAAGGAATTTTTAAATATGTCTTTATTTTCGAGAAAATTTAGTCCAAACATAAGGAATATTTTATTGATGTTTGACCATCAAAATCCTAAAAATAAAGTTGTCTAAAAATGTGCTTCGATACGGATATAGTGTAATCCTTTATCTTTAATATCCTTCTTCATTTGTGTAAAAATACCTAGCCAGTTTTACATAAAACGTTAAATGCCGAACGCTTATTTTGTTTACTTTTTCAGACTAGTGAAATGGACTCTTAATAACTGACTTTCAGTAGTAATTATGAACAATGCCCTAACTGCGTCTGTTTCTTAAAATATAGAAAATAGTAATTGTGGAATGGGCAGTGTGGCATACAGTAGGCATTTTGTTGAAATAATGTAAAACTTTTAAAGGCATCGACACAGTTGGATTTGCGTCAACCCGGTACGCAAACCCGTTATTGTGGAATAGCGTGAGGTACAATAGGAATTTTGTTCTTAAACCCATAAAAATCATTTGTGCATTACGGAATACAGTAACTGGGCCCAAAATTTATATAGGTAAGTTCAGCGTAACGGTATAAAGGCATTGTAATTGAGAGAGATTTATTTAGTTTTGTTTCGGTCTGTGTAATATAAAATATGTCGTCATCAAATAAGAAACCCGTTTTGTAAAATTATAAAACCACCTTATCTTACTATAGAAATTTAAAGCAGTCAAGTTACTACTTGCACGCTTTGCTTTTATCTATTTTTATTTACCAGGGGCCAATAGAATTGATCGAGTCGCAAACGCGAATTTTGCTGCCATAAGGATTGGGTCAAAAATGTGACATAGAAAATAAAGTGTGTTTTAAAACAGAATATTTTTTTTATTTTATTTGCAAAAGCTCTTTAAACTAAATACAATATGATCGAAAAAAAACAGCGTCAGCCATAGCTATGAAATAAAAATCGCTGTCATTTTATACGCAAAATTATATGGGTAATGTTATCGATGTTCATTTCCAAGCCAATTGAACGCCATTTTTTTCGGTGATACGGTACATATTTAGTCATATAGTTACTATTGTTTATATATTCAAGTAAAAAAATATCTATTTACAAAGAGTCATCCGCACTACCGCTGTACAAAGGGTGTTCAACACACAGTACTTTAAAGATTTATTTAACTGTGCGCTCTACATCAATCCAATAGGTTTTGTCCTCTTCAGTTAGCTGGGCCACCACCAGCAGAGAAAGTGCTTGCCAAGGAGACAGTGGTGGTCCATTGGTCCAAAACGGCGTACTTGATTCGTCGGTCTTTAATTAAAGAAATGTAAAAGATTTATTTAACTGTGCGCTCTACACCAATCCAATAGGTTTTATCCTCTTCAGTTAGCTGGGCACATTTTCAATATTGAGGAGTTGAAAAACCTTAAACTTAAGATAATGATAAAAACGTTTTCCAGTGAAACCTTGAATTTCTTTTTTAATGGAAGGAATATTGAGATTTTTGTAATCAGTATTCCAAATATATCACGGAGCATCAACAATGCATCCTAGGACAATCTTTTGCCAGACTGCAAATTATTAATTATTATTATTCATTTATTTTTTCGATATTTTAACTGATTATTTTCTCTGCTACTCGAGTCGGAGATAAATCCAACAAAAATCAGAGATCATTAAAACCTGTCCAACCGTTCTAAAGTAATAAATGTTGTAACTTTAATATGATGGTGTGACATTGTTTTATTTATTTAGGTATTTTTGGAATATTAAATACCTACTGGGAATTTATATTTAGAGATTTATCTATGTATTTTTTCCGATTTAATCGTGTTGCAAAACATTATAATTAGAATTAATCAAGAAACTGATGGTGCAAAAATGTAAAACTGATCTGTATGGTTAATTTATGAGATAAAGCAATTGAACGTGCCTTGTCTCATTTGTCTTGTAAGCGATCTTGTGGCGGGAAGCCACCGAATTTACTTTGAATGTGGTAAACAATGATTCAGTTTTAAAACTAAAAGAATTTCTGACTTCCATTGTCTTTACTTATCCTACTTACCCAACGTTTCTTTCAGAAGTATCACTGGCCAATGGCTACATTGTTGATAAATTAATTAGAAAACGTAGGTATAGGTTAATGATTTCTGAAAATTCGACTTTTCAAGTGGAGAAAGATACGTCTAAATATTTCGATACCGTTTGATAGAGAGTTATCCCGTGGTCTAAAAGGAATTTTTAAGAATGTCAATTATAAACTTGTGTATAGTGCTAATAATAAATTACAACAATTATTAGGTAATCCAAAGGATAAAATACCTCCACTGGAAAGGTCGGGTATTTATGAAATTTCTTTTAAAGATTGTAATCACAAATATGTTGGGCAAACTAAAAATTAATATTAACTAGATTTAAAGAACATTTAGCTCAGATAAGATATGGTAGACCTGATAAATCTTGCGTTGCCGAACATATTGTTGATAAAGAACATTGTATAGATCTTAATAATTTAAAATTAATTAAATAAGTCTCAAATTACAGGCAATTAGATGCATATGAAAGCGTCAGAATTAATAAATGTAAAGATAGTATGAACAGAGACAACGGTCCAATTCCATCAAGTTCTTTGTTCCTACTACTCTAGTGGCGGAAGTCTAACTGTTACGCTCAGTGGGCTCTGACTCGGTTGGCTAGATTTTGCCACGCCCACTCGGTGCCCACTGAGCGAGTATATAAACGCTCAACTTGTAGATTGTACAGTGTGTCCCATTTTGGTTGAAATCATAGGGTATCTCCGTTATTAATGAAGATAGAAGGGTGCGGTTTGCACAAACCTGTGCCACTTTTTCGTCAAACGAAAGATGTTGCAAACAAAATTTTCATAGCCCTCTTCATTTCTGAGCTGTTGGTGGGTCTTTTCGAAAATTTTGCAATTTGGGGACACCCCTATAAGGTATCGAGAAAGTGAAAACTGCTTATTGTATGGTTAATTTATGAGATAAAGCAATTGAATGTGCCTTGTCTCATTTGTCTGTAAGCGATCTTGTAGAATACAGTGGCGTAGTCTGTTTTTCTACCAAAAGTATTTTTTGAAAATGTGAATTAAAGTTATGTTTTTTCAAATGGAACACCCTGTATATTTATAAATTATATGATCTGTCTTGCAGTGAGCTTCTCAAAAATAATATATATCACTCTATATTTATTTTTCACTATTTACTGCAATATTTAAAATATATCATTTTCTGATTAGTAGGCCGTGATAAATAACAAAAATCAAAATGGTATTTACTAAAATAGTCATACACATATTAAAATTTATTTTGGGATTGATATATTTTTCTTTTGAAATAACTGTTAGCACTGAAACTGTGAATATTTTTTCTTTTTTTTTATAACGGGATGGTTTGCAAATATCTAAATCTTGAATTATTAAAGCATTTTTCAGGGTGTTCGACATTGTTGTAGTGCCTACGATATATTTCGTATTTCAAAAATTAACAAAATCAGAAATCGAAAACTGCAAATCCGGGAATCGGATGCTTTCATATGCATCTAATTGCCTGTAATTTGTTAACTAATACTGTATTAGTAATTATTTCTAATAACTAATACTGTATTAGTTATTAGAAATACTAATAATTGAATGTTCCCCATCTTGCTGAAAGTATATTTCACGTAAATTAGCTAAAGGAATATCTAAAATTTCCGATACGATAGATTATTCTTATGTATACACGTATTCCAAGATTTACAAATTGCGGTAGAGAGTTAAGTTTCCCTAATATATAAAGAATTTATTAGCGGCTCCCAAAAATAAAACAAGAGACAGATAGCAGTATACTTTTAATAATTCTTTAGTTTCTTTTATTATCAATCATGGCCTACTAATAAATATGATGTTTTAATAAAAACTTTTAAATATTGCAGTAAATAGTAAAAATAAATATAGAGTGATATATATTTTTGAGAAGCTTATGGCAAGACAGATCATATGACTTATAAATATACAGGGTGTTCCATTTAAAAAACATAACTTTAGTTCATATTTTCAAAATATTTTTTGGTAGAAAACAGTGTACGCCACTGTATTCTACGTAAAAAGTTCTACAATAAACAATTTTCACCTTCTCGATAGCTTTAACAATAACAGAGATACCGGAGGTGTCCCAAATTGCAAAACTTTCAAAAAGACCCTGTAGCTCGGAAACGAAGAGGGCTATGAAAATTTTGTTTACGGCATCTTCCGTTTGACAAAAAAGTGAGACAGGTTTGTGCAAACCGCACCCTTCTATCTTCACTAATAACGGAGATACCGTATGATTTTAACCAAAATGGGACACCCTTTACTTTAGTTTATAATCATCTGCTGATGATGCTAACATGGTTAGCGAAACGCGCGTCCAGTGT